TCTCTCTCTCTCTCTCGTTATCTCTCTCTCTCTCTCTCTCTCTCTCGTTCTCTCTCTCGTTCTCTCTCTCTCATTCTCTCTCTCTCTCTCGTTCTCTCTCTCTCTCCTTGTCTCTCTCTCTCAAGCAGTCCTGTATTAATAGGGTGCACAAGGTACAGGCATGGCAGGTGATGGTTGCAAGACTAACTAGATATGGGAGCAACCTGGTAGCTAAACTAGCCGAGCTAACAAGGCAGAGCAGTGCAGGGCATAGCAAAGCATTGGAGTAAGGCACCCCTAGTTCCTGCAACCTGGTCCTCACCACCACACCCTCTGTTCAGGTAGAGCCGAAAACACCCACCCCAGGACCCTGGCAGCTCCATATAATCCTGCTCTGCTCGAGGCCCTCCTTACTATTTCATTCTTGTTCCTTTATCTGCCAGCTTTCACCCATCAACCCCTTGGCAACACCTTCTGTTTCCCCATCACCCCCTTGTCCTACCTACTATGCCATTACCATCTCCAAATCGTCTTCCAGCACTTGCCATAGGTCCCCCAGGCTAGGTTCCCAAGGGTCCCTGGCGGCCTGTGGGAACGCCGCCTCATCTGAGAGGTTGGACTTGTTCAGGTAGGACGTCGCCTGGGACCGCTGCAGCATCACAGACCAGCGCTGCCGGTAGTGAGCGGTGAGCCGTGCAGTAGTCGTCGTCAGATTCCCCTGACGGTACTTTTTCTTGGCTGCTGAGGTGGCAAGGAGGCGTAGGAACTGCTGTGTGTCAGTTGCCAGAGCCCCGTACGTCTCAACTGCCAGCCCAAAGAAGCCTACATAGTCCGGTCGTCCCTCATAAAGCCTGTGTTTCCTCGCAGAAGCTTCCTCAGCTGCCCATCCCGGCGGTTTCCGTGCCCTTGTGTCGCGTTGCTGGAGCACAGGGTCGGTCACTGTCACATCGGTCACCCAGGTCTCATTTGACTCTTTGTCTCTCACGGCTAGGTCCCCTCTCTTCCTAACGATCGGTGGGGAGAAGGCTGCCGTCTCATGGAAGCACGTGAAGTCTGCCTCCCTTGCCATCCTGAGGGCCGCGTACACCAGCGAGTTGTGTGTTCTAACCACATCTCCCCCGTACCCACACCTGAGGAGATGGTTCGGTAGGCTTGTGTCGGTGATATCGGAATACTCGCGCTTGCAGGGGCACTTTACAGTGACCGGCAAGGACATGCCCATGCGGAAGCCCAGTGCCAGGGAGAACTGACCAGGGGCAAATGTAAGGTCAGCTCTTGAAGGCACTGCATGTAGCCAATCTCCCGCCCCCACCCCTTGTAAGCTGATGAGGCGTATTGCATGCCCGCGGTGTGTGCCCGGGCGGTCTGTGATTGTGTCTGAAAGCAGCTCCGCGGCCCTTCTCTCATTGATGTGGCGGGACAGCACTAGCTGAAGGTTACCCTGTCCTGTCGGCTTCTCCCTGAAAGCCTGTAATGCAGCCCTCGCGGGTGCTGGGAGTGCTGCTTCCAGTGGGGCTAGCTGATTGACCTCCGGTACCGCGGGGCTCCAAGCGTGGTCAAGTAGCGTGATCGCCCTGCGCAGTAGGTATGCCTCCGGCAGGTTCATCTGCCGCAGTAGTTGCTGGGCTGCCGTGACTGACGCTATGTAGGCTGCCGGAGCCTCCGAGGAAGGGTCGATGATGCCTAGCCCCCCTAGCCTGACAGGTAGAGTGCCTTGCCGCCAGAGCAGACTCTGTTCCAGCTCACTTATTGGAACCCGTAGTTTCGCTGCTGCCAGGGTTCTTCGTAGTAGAGATTCGCTCCACGACCTCCACTCCTCTTTCTCCAGCACCGCCGCTGGCGTTGTACGCAGCATGTAGGATATCCTGCGTGAAATGCTCCGCGAGAGCATGAGCATGGCGTGCTGGGGGTGGAGTTGAGCTATCAGGGGTAGCGGGGCGGACGCCTCCATGAGTCGTGTCTGTGCCTGGTCGGTGCAGAAGGTAGGCGTGCCGATCGGGCTCCCCAGAACTCCTATCCCAGTGGTGTTTATTGGCAGGCCCTGTGGTGGTGGGATCTCGCTTCCCTCCTCCGTGCTCTGTCCCCACCCTGTGGACTTGGCGATGTTGCAGCGGAGCCCGAGTGATGTTAGCTCCGTTGTGATGTTGATGAAAGCCTCAAATGCAGCATCTCTGGGTCCCACAATGGTGATGTCGTCAGCGTAGGCGACGATCGCCACCTCGGGGAGGAGTGTTGCCGTACTCAAAAGTGTTGGTTGAATCGCCGCGGCGAAGAGGAGCGGACCTAGTGGGTCTCCCTGGCGAACTCCCCGGCTGCTTAATATCTGGTCGACACCAAGCCTGTGGTCCACTAGAAGCCGGGACGGGCCCTCATACAGCATGCGTACTAGGGGCAGGAGTGATGACAGGTTCGACTGCGAGAGCGCGTGGAAGAACGCCGGTCGTTCCACACTATTGAAGGCGTTCTCTATATCTAGCTGTAGCGCGACGCGGGTCTCGTCCTCTTTAAGCAGCGAGCGGACTGCGTGTATGATGCACTCTGCCCCGCCAATGACAGACACGCCAAACTGTACGGGGAGGAAAAACTCCCGAATATGGTGTGATAATTCTTTCAGGGCTGCTTTCGCCACGATGCGAAGTATTGCTTCTCCTATCGCGATAGGTCTAACGCCGCCTCTCTCTCTCTCTCTCTCTCTCTCTCTCTCTCTCTCTCTCTCTCTCTCTCTCTCTCTCTCTCTCTCTCTCGTTCTCTCTCGTTCTCATTCTCTCGTTCTCGCTCTCTCGTTCTCTCTCTCTCTCGTTCTCTCTCCTTCGTTCTCTCTCTCTGGTTCTCTCTCTCTATCTCTCTCTCTCTCGCTCTCTCTCTCTCTCTCTCTCTCTCTCTCTCTCTCTCTCTCTCTCTTGTTCACTCTCTCTCGTTCGTTCTCTCACTCTCTCTTTCTCTCTTGTTCCCCCTCTCTCGTTCTCTCTCTCTCGTTCTCTCTCTCTCTCTCGTTCTCTCTCTCTCTCTCTCTCTCTCTCTCTCTCTCTCTCTCTCTCTCTCTCTCTCTCTAATGGTCCGTGTATTGATATAGCCAAAGGGTACATTCATGCATAGCTATTGCTAGGATGGTTTGGAAAACAAGCAAACAAATAACAAACGACAAACAACTACGTCTCTACACCTCCATAAGAGGTTCCAGCACAGCACAGCAGTCCCCAAGGTGGAGCTCGGACTGCACCCCCCCTACAGGGGGATTTTCAGCTACGGCCGCCTGAGAGGACTTGATTAAGTATCCCACCGACTGTGCTCTTTGCAGAGCCACGGACCAGCGCTGCCTGAAGAGGTGTAAGAACCTCCTCGCGTGATGGGAGGTGGGTTGGGCGTTGAAATGATGCCTAGCAGCTGTATCTGCCAATAACTTCAGAAATTTTGGGACTTCCGCGCATGGGCACCCGTATGTCTCAACTGCAAGGGGGAAGAAGCCGACCGTGTCAGGTCGATTTGCATAGTGGCTGATTTTCTTGTCCGCTTGCTCCCTTGCTGCCCATCCCCTCCCCTTTGTAGCATTGGGATCCCGAGTGCTAATGGGATCTGTGATGGTGACATCACAGGCGTATACTGCCCCCGAGCTCCTGTCAGCGGTCTGTTCTTCAATAGGGCAGTACGCAGCTGATTCCCTGTGAACTATGAAGCCGGCATCTTCCGCCATAGTAATACATGTGTCCCGCAGCTCGTTGTGGGTGTTGATTCTGTGCTTGCCTGTCCTGCAGTGGAATAAGTGGTTTGGCAGCCGTGGGTCCTTGATCTCAACACGCTTAGAGCAGTCATTTTTGGGAGTAGAGAAGGGGAGCCCAAGTCTGAAGCGGACGGCATTGGCGAAGTGTTATGGACCTACGCGGCGGGTTTGCTCTATTGGGATTGTTGTCAACCAGTCCCCCATGCCGTAGCCCGTTAGAGAGAAAAACCGTTGGGTATGTCCTGACAAGGGATTCAGCCTCATGAGCCGTGTTGCCTGTACTTGCGCGGCATATCTGCTCCCCTGCACTCTCACCCCGAGCTCATGCTGTAGCTTTAGGTCGGATGGCTCGAGCCTTTCCTTGTCTAGGATGTCTCTGGCCTCCTGCGGCAGTGCTCTCTCACATTCGGACAGCCAGTGGTGTAGGGCGGTGGTGACATCTCGTGGTAGTCGCATGTGATTTCTAACCTCCGTCAAGGCCACCTCTGACTCCAGCGGCAGGGAACTAAGTAGCAGTGCGGCTTGTGTAAAACTGGCTAGGAAGCCGAAAGTTCCCTCCATCGTTGGGTCTGTGATTCCGATACCCCCTAGTGACGGTGGGAGGGACGACTGCTCCCAGACCCGAGTCTGTTCCGTGTCGTCCGTCGGTATGCGTATGCCGCACGCTGTAAGGAGGGTGGCCAGCAAGTCCCTACCCCACTGTGACCAGGTGTCACTATCTAGAAGATGTAGTGGAGTCGTTCGTGTGAGATAGGCTACCCTGCGTGAGATGCAGCGAGTGAGCAGGAGAGATGCAACCTGAGGGTCCATTCGTTCTATCAGAGGTAGCGGTGTGGACATAGCTTGTAGCTGTGCAGTTAGGAAGGAGGCGGCGCCTTCTGGTGTTCCTAGAAAGCTACCGAGAAGCCTAACGCCGTCAGAACTAGTTGGCACCCCAGGCGGCAGCTGCACTGCCTCGTCTATCGGCCGGTTGCTCCACGCGACACATTTCCCTGGGTTGTGTCGCAGGCCTACTTGGGACAATTGGCTCGTGAAATAGGAAAAGGCAGCTACGGTTTCACGGTGGTCACCTAGGAAGCTGACGTCGTCAGCGTATGCCAGGCACAGTACGCCGGGGTGTGCAGTAGCTGTCTCTCTTAATGCGGGGGCTGGCGTCTGTCGCAGAGAAGCGTGATATCCCAATTTGCGATTGCTGCGAATCTGTCCAGATGCATCGCCAGTTCGTCTGGTGAGAAATAGCGAGGTGGTTGTCATGGCGCGTTGGGTTGGCGATCCACGGCTCGATTTGTCTGGGCGCGGCCCGATGTTGCCTGGGTCGGCAAGGTTGGATTCCCAACCGTACGATCGCCATCTTGCGGTTCACCCACATTCCTCTGCCCAGCTACCCCAGGACGCCTGGGCACTTCGTTCCTTTGACCGTCTCTCTCCCTCTCCTCTTCTCCTCCTTCGCTATCGTTGCTGTCATCTTGTATCCCCTGCTCCTCGCTATAAGTGGGGTCTTCCCTTTCCTCTTGCACATTAGTCTCCTCTTGGCAAGTTAAAGCCACTCCCCCAGCTGCTTCCCGCGCGTTCTCAGGGTCAGCGTTCGTGACTAGTAGTGTTAAGGCCATTTGCCCCGCCGCTTGGATCGCATTTTCAGGCCCTCCTCCTTCGCCGCTTCCTCCTTGTCGGCCCGTACTCCGACACCTTCCTTCTCGTGATGGTGATTGCTGACGGGCCGGAGCCATCGCCAGTGCGCGCTGCCGTTGTATCAGTGGTGCGCAAAAACTCACCGCCGGCGACTGCATCGGCAAACGTCGCGGCGAAGCCGCCATTTCCGCCTGCCACGAAAACCATGTCGTCGCCAACTGGTGGGCCTGCGGCAGCAATTTCTCAGTCCCCGGTCGCGACGTCGCATCCGGCTGCTGTGGTTGCTCCTCCCGCTCCCGTTCGCCAGGAGCCCATGCACGTGGCACCTTCTGCGGCTGTTGCGCCACCAGTTGCCCCCGTCCTTGCCGCCCCGATTGTCGCCGCTGCCTCTGCTGCTCTTGGCGGCGACTTGGTGCTAGCGGCGGTGTCCGCCACCACTGGCGGCCCGGCTCCAGCTGTGGTGCCTGCCAAGGCTGTTCAGTTGGCGCCTGTAGCTCCTCCGTTGGTTCCCTCTGGGCAGCTATACCATCACGACCCCATTCGCCCTTCCGGCGAGATGACCGGGAGTCGTCGCGTCATCGACATGAGTCTTCTCAGCGCCGCTCATCGGGCGGGAACTGGCAAGCGCGATGGGGTGGGCGAGGGGGCTGGAGGGGAAGTCACGGACGTGGACGTGGCGGGGCGTTTGATGCGCCGGTGACAATGGCAGACTTGCAGCGAGTCGTAATGGCTGCGATGCGAGAGGAGAGGGCCCTGCAGACGAACCAGCAGTTCCCGCGTCCATCTGCCGCTCCTCCTCCTGTTGCACCTCCTGTGACTCTTGTGACTCCACTGCGGCAGATGCTCCTCATCCTCCTGCTCCCCCTGCCCCTTATTCGTCCCTTCTGCCTGGTGATTCTGCTCCCCATGCTGCTGGCGCTGTGCAGCCGTTCCACGCGTTTGTGAGTCCTCCTCGCGCGGCAGAGGTTCCGAAGGCGACCCTTGGGCAGCTGTGGCGCCTCTCTGAGGGTTTACGGGCTGTTCATCTTATCCAGATGTACGGTCACACAGGTCTCTCCCGTGGGAACACCCTGGATGGTGGTTCCCGGGACAAGTTTCTTGACGCCGCGGATTGGCTTGCGGAGCTCCTAGCGCCCATGTTGGCTGCGCCCACGAGGGGAGGAGTTGCGGGCGTTGGGCAGCTGGGGACAGCTGTACGAGGCCTGCGGCTTTTTCGCGCGCTGGGACTGCAGCCGATGTGATCAGCATCAGCACGGCGGTAGTGCGGGAGCTGCATCGCTCGCTGACGGGGCTTCTCGCGGTTCTTGGCACAGATCAGATATAGCGTCCGCCTCTTCCTGCACCATGTTGTTGCTGTGTTTTGTCCTAGACAGGTGTAGGTGATGTCATTCTGTGTATGTCTTGGATTATAGTTGCTTGTCCCTACAGCGGTCTGAAGGATCCATTCCCTCCGCCATTGCTTCTCTGCCACAGCTCACAACACTGTAAGCCACAGTATACCATAAGCATGCGCACAAACTGAACCCAAACTGGTTCAATCCCAAATATGTTTATTTGTGTAACGTTCAAATGGAACCAGTTCGGTTCATTCATCCAAAACCTTGTTAGACCCAAAACGTTTGAGGTTTGGTGGTACAGAGTCCAGCCTGATTAAGTGGCATGAGTTTTGTTATTGCCTCTCTGCCCAACACAGGGGTTTAAGGAAAGGATCCGCAGATGCATGCAGAAGGGGTCCACGTTGCTGACGGTTCATCTCGTGCCTGAAAGCGGCTTCCTTCCCTTATCTTTTTCACACATAGCTTTCATCTTAATCTTATAACTCACGCCTGCTCCCCTCTCCCTTCTCTCTCCCACCACCCTCCTCCCACCCCCACTTTCTCCAGAGGCCTCTACTCCAACTACCTCACGGGCACCATGCCCATCCCCTCCACCTCCCTTGTCGCTCTGGACGTGGGCTTTAACTACCTCTCTGGAACCTTCCCCAAGCTCTCCCTCGCAGTCTGTGCGGCCGACCAGAACTGCTTCCTCATCTCCTCCTACTGCCGCACCTACAGCTCGATGCAGCGCCCCACCTCCGCCTGCAGCATCTGCGGCACGATGGACGGGCAGGGAGAGCTGTGCAGTGGTGATCTTTGTTCCGCCAACAGCTCTCTGCCAGTCAGCAAGGGAATCGTCAATACCCCTTCGGTGCCGCCAGTGTGATTGACTTGTTCGGGTGCTTGATGCGTGTTGAGGGGCAGAGAGGATGGCAGACACAGTAAGAAATATTGGAGCGCGGATTACAGAAAGTTTCAAGAGAATGATATGATGTGGCCTGGCACGTGGGGGGGAAACGGGGGGAGGGGAGTGGGGGGAGGGGGGGGGGGGGGTGGGAGTGGAGGAGGTGCCACCATTCAAATTCGGATGGAACGTCTCTCCGTTGCCTGTTCAACGCCACCATCTATTTGTATGTTCATTTTACATCAACGTTCCCTCAATATTGTTTTAAAGCATTTTCTACCTTAGTTTAATCTGAGTGACTGTTTTGTGCCTCCGAATCTTCCCCGCGATGCCTACAGGATATGCTGCCACAGTTCTCATGAATTCTGACTCAAGTGGGCCGTTCTTTCTTAACGCCAACACCCATGCCCCTCCCACTTTCGTCCTGCCTTCTCACTCGTTCTCGGCACCTGCCAATCGTGTAGCGAACACACCTGCATATGTCTACCACATCCTCTCTCAACCGTTTCCCACTCGTGCTTAATCCACCCTCCCCCACTTTTCCCTTCCCTCCCTTTTCTCTCCATCCAGTGACCGCGATTCTATCCATCAAGTCATCCCTGGGATTGACATTCAATAATTGGGCCTCCTCTCTTTGCTGTACGGGCGATGGAACTTTCCTGTGGGGAGTCACCTTCTGGTCGAATGTTCTATGCTCCATGGACGGGGCAGCCATCCAAATGTGAGTTCATGAACAAGTATAACTTCACAAATGACTCAAACTATCGTGGTGCAATCACATACTTGTGATTGAGTATTTTCTGGATGTCCCTGCTAGACTTTTGTTTACATGTCGTGTGCGTGAAGCGACACTACAAATCTCTTGTATCAGCATTGCTGTAGAAGAAGTATTTACACCACCAATGGGACGAAACACCCTTTACACTTCATGTGTGGGTCCATAAGCCATTCATATGGTTAAAATTATTGCATTGCTCCCTGCCCTTTGTTCATTCAATCGCCTGCAGGGACTTATCAAACAAGGGACTGAAGGCCACTAGCCTGCCTGCTGACATATCCAAGCTCACTACCCTCACAGCTCTGTCAGTCTTTTTCGAAGAGTATTTTTCTTGTGTTATGTTGGCCACTTCGAAGCGTAATACAGTAGGGACATATTCATGCAACTTCAACTCCTGTTTCTCTCTGCCCTCGCAAACTGCATGATGTTGATTTGCTTCTGCTGTCTTGTGCTTTCATGCCATGTCACGGCACGTGCTGCCATGCATGCCATGTCATGCATGTGTTCCCATCCGCCTGCCCTTAACCAGGTATCTTCATGCAAATTTCATTTATGCCCGCTTGGAAGACTATGCGTCCATCCTCAAGGGGTCTACAGCTCTACAGATCTTGTGAGCCATCAAGTCAAGAGAATGTCAGCAGTCAAGGCAACATCATGTGAGCAGTCAAGGCAACATCATGTGAGCAGTCAAGGCAGCATCATGTGCGCAGTCAAGGCAACATCATGTGCGCAGTCAAGGCAGCATCATGTGCGCAGTCGAGGGCATGTGAGTTGTCAAAGGCATGTGAGTAGTCTAAAGCATGTAAGTATTCAAGCACGCGCGAGCATGCAAATTGAGCACTGTGAAACATACAACATGACTGATGAAGGAATAAGAGGCCGGAAAAGAAACACGATATGCTGAGAAGGAAAGTTCACGTCTCTGGCATACTTTTTTCACATGTCCACGGACACTGAACTTGCCACATAATTCAAGGGATAGATGGGGGCATACAGCTAGCTGGATTTTTTTTTTTTTTTTTCTGCTCTCTTGAGACAATGACGCATCAATAAGAGCAAGTGATTGACATCAATCAGGCCACCAACTCCCCTGCCATACACTTGGCAGACATCTGGGTTACAACTTTCTGTACGGCTCAGTCCCCTCATACCTCGTGAATCTCCCAGCACTGTCATCTCTGTAAGTAGCTTTCATAGCCATAGCTTCCATACTCACCCCTTTATTCTCTTGACATTGTCAGCTACCTCGCTTTTGCGCAATCCCTGGTTATGATGAATAAGCCCGTTTATCTGACAACTACCACCCTCCTACTCGCCAACCCCTCCCTCCCCAACCCCCCCTCCCCCTGTCTCCCCCCCTCCCTCTCCTTTTTCTTCCCCTCCCATACCCTTCTCTTCTCTTCAGAAATTTGTATTACAACTTCCTAACGGGTAGCGTCCCAGCCATGGGTTCAAACTTGAAGTTTCTTGACTTCAATCATAACTACATTTCGGACATCGCCACACACTCACCTACAATATGCGCTGGCAATAACTGTTGTCTCACTACTCCCTCCAAGTGCGCCACTTTCGGAACCACCCAGAGATCTGCTGCTAAATGCGCCATCTGTGGCACTACCAACGCCGTCGCTCCCATGTGCTGGGGTGCTGGTGGGGAGTGTGTGCCTGCAGCTGCTTTTTTTGTTGCATTTGGCGCATTGAACATGGGGGTGAACGCTCCCGCATCCATGCTCTGCTCAGGTAATGGGCCTTAACTGTTCGTGTGGGGGTCCACACTTTTTTTAGCCACCTCAGCATTGTTACAGCAGGATGGGATGTGTCTGGATTTTTTATAGCTTTGCATTGACAAATGCTCATGCTGCTTTCCTCAGTGGTGCATGTGTGTGTCAAGTTGTTCTCCATAGTAATGCACCCTTCCACTTCTCCTCCTTCGTCTTTCGCTGCTGCCAGTGGTGTTGGTGGTTGTGGTGGTGGTGGTGGTGGTTGTAATGATGTTGCTGCTGCTGCTGTTGCTGCTTCTGCTGCTGCTGCTGTTGCTGCTTCTGCTGCTGCTATTGAATGATGGTTGTGATTCACTCACCTGCCTATCTATATACCACTCAAACTTCTTGCGCTTTACTCCAACAGGCGGTGTTCTAGTGGACATGCCACCCACCAGCAGCGCAGGTATGTGTGTGGGGGCTATTCCTTGTATTGGAAAGCTCATACATAAGTAGCTTCTCTCAAAGCCTGGTCCCAATGCAATTCTCTCCATCTCTCTCTGTGCTCCCTTCTCCTAAATCTCTCCTCCACTAGCACTTCCCTCTCCCTTTATCTCCTCCCTCTCTTGCCCTCCCCTTCGCCAGCACTCTTGGCGCTCAAGTCATCGCTAGGCGTGACTTTCACCTCGTGGGCAACAGGTGTGCCGTGCCAAGCGGTTGGCAAGCAGGCTGCCACACAGACCACGTGGTCCGGCGTGCTCTGTGGTGATTCCGGGGACGTGCTTTCAATATAAGCACCCATGCATGCATGCTAAAGCTTAGTGGGGGGAGAATGGGGCCAGATAGGTAACTACGCGGCCTCCATCAACTCCTTCTACACCAATCCCTCTGCCTCTTCCCATCACCCCCTTTAGATCGGTGGCTCATCAGAGTCTAAAGGGGTCTATTCACTCAAGCATCTCCAAGCTCACTGCGCTCACTTACCTGTAAGGGTGAACTAGGGACGCACTCACATGAACCTGTGACACACAACACACAGACAGGCTGACCGCAATGCAAAGGGAGTGCCTAGTTGTCGCAAGTCTAGCTGTACAGATATTGTAAGGCAGAAAAACCATTTATTGCGAAGGTGTGTTCTGGTCAGATGGTAAACTTGCTATGAACATTTGTTTTTAGAAATTTTTATACTTCAACGCACACAAATCAGTCTTCTTAAATCGCTCCTATTCTCAAATATACCCTCACCGCCCGCCCTAGTGACTTTGGTTACAACCTCTTCCAAGGCCGCCTTGACTCGTTCTCTGCGCCACTTAAGATTGTGCCCAGCCTCAAGGCGCTGTGAGTTCCAAACCTCGTGTCTGATGGAGCCTTGACTACCAGCCTCTCGTATGTGAAGGCATGAAATGCTTCGTGACTCATGTTCTGTAGCAACACATTGTTAGGACTAACATCTGCCGTTTCAATAAACACTTTCTCAAATTGAATTCTTCTTTGGTTTCCGTTTCATGTCCCTTCACCCTTCCTCTAATTTCACCTCCTCCCCCTCCAGATTTTTCCACTACAATTGGTGTGCAAGATCCATTCCCTCCTTCATCGCCTTGTTGCCAAACCTAACCACACTAGAAGCAGCACGCACAGCTCACTCTCGCCCCTTCTTCCAAATTCCTTCATTCTCACTCATATCGTTCTTATTCGCCCTTCCCTCTCCACCTCACGCCTGTGCTTATTCCCCCTTCCCTTCCTGTGTTCGTTCCCCCCCATCAGAGGCCTCTTCTCCAACTACCTCACGAGCACTATGCCCATCCCCTCCACCTCCCTCGTCGCCCTGGACGTGGGCTTTAACTACCTCTCAGGCTCCTTCCCCAAGCTCTCCCTAAAGAGTTGTTCAGCCGACCACAACTACTTGCTTTCCTCCTCCTACTGCCGCTCCTCCGGTCTACTGCAGTTCCCTGCCTCCGCCTATGTCATCTGCGGGTCTGCAGACGGCCAGGGGGAGTTGTGATATGGTGGGCTGTGCGGCCCTGACAGTGCTGATGCAGTCAGTACGGGGTCTGTAAACTCCCCCTCTCTGCCACTGGTCCCCATGAAGTGTCTTGGTAAGTGTGGCTTTGTCCTTTTCCAGGACGAAATGGACAGCAAAGGAAAGCTTAATTCGATATTAGGGGTAAGGGTTTGTGATGTTGAAGTATCATGGAGTCAAGGACCATGCCATGCAATGCCATTTATGCTTTGCTCTTGTTCGCAACCTTATTCTTGACGGCTGCTGCGTTGCACACACACAGGACAGGACACCAGCTGGCTGGTTTCCATTCGTATTTCTACTCTTGGGGTGCTCCAGCAATGCCTCTAATCCTCTCTCCTTTCCGTGGATCTGTCCTTCTCTGAGCCTCTTCTTGCCCCTGATGGTGAATTTGTGTGTGACTGTACGCCTGTGTGTGACTGTACCCCTGTGTGTGGCTATGCCCACTCGTGTGGCTGTACAGATTCGCCTGTGGTCGCAATGGATACCGCCTCAGGTGGGCATTCTCTTCTAGAAGCACACCTTACCATTCTACTGCATTCTCACCCCTTTGTTTCCCGTGCACACACCAAATTTTCAGCCTCTTTTACACAACCCCCCTTTCCCCCTTCTCCGTTCTCAAATGTCCCAAGAGTGTTGAATCTTAAGCCCCGTTCCAAACTCACACGCCCCCTCACTATTCTCTGTTCCAATCCTCCTCGTCCTCCTCCTCCTCCTCCTCCTCCTCCTCCTCGTCCTCCTCCTTCTCCTCCTCCTCCTCCTCCTCCTCCTCCTCCTCCTCATCATCATCATCACCCCCATCACCACCACCACGTCCCCCATCTCGTCCCATCCCAGAATCAGCTCTACTGAGCGTCAAGTCATCTCTGGGAGTCACCGACTCCACCTGGGTTGCGGCCTCTTCCTGCACGCTCGGCAGTCCCGAAGTCAGTGTTAAAGACACCTGGAATGGCGTGGTCTGCTCCTTTTCTGGGGCTATCGTCAGTCTGTGAGTGCTGCAAGAGACCATGGGAATGTTGACGATCTCAATGCCAGCCAAGACATGTAGTGCCTTGGAGGTTGAAATGCAGAGTGCCAAATGGTAGTGTCTCATATTCTCTATCATGTCTTGTTTCTACATCTCATCCTCCCTGTCTGTCATGTGATCATCTTGTTTCACATTGGCTTCTCTTATACACTTAACAGTCCTTAATGTTTGCCTGATGATGCTCCTCCGCACAGCCCCCCTCTCACCCCTCCCCGTCCTCTCCTGGTGGTGCGATCACGTGCAGGAACGTGACTTCCATGGGCCTCAGTGGCAGTGTGCACGCTGACATCTCCAAGCTCACCACCCTCACATCCTTGTCAGTTCCTCTTTCCATCTCACTCTCTCACTCTTTCCCTTGACCTCTGTCCAAGCCTCATCCCCCTCTCCCAATTTTGCTCCCAATGCTAAGCCAGAGACCTTCGGCTGCATCCACATCCCTTCCTTCCTGTTGCATTGTAAAAGCCCATCTTCTCCACCTTGAGTATCTATTCAACCTGCTCTTTACCTTATCTGAACCCAGGGATCCGATTCTCCACAAATTTCAGATGCGCATCTTACTTCAACCCTTTCCCCATTGCCCCCCATTGCCCCCCTCCCCCTCCTTCCCCCAATGCCTCAGGGACCTGTCGAGCAACTTCTTTCGCCAGAATCTTGAAGTTGCTCGATATGGCGGAAGAAGTTGCTCGATTCTGGTTTCTCCAAACTCCAGACCATCAAGTGCATGTGAGTGACGCCTGTGCCGCGAGAGAGACACACCCCCATACCATGTTGATCTTGCTGTGCTCATGAGCTCATCATGTATCTACTTAGTGTATTCATAGTTCCAATGTTCCATGAGCTCATGATGATATGAATCGTCAAACTTAGATCACATTTTAAATGTTTCAGGCTGCCCGTCTCTGCACCAACCTTCATCTGATATCTCACCACATAGTCATCTTGTTTCAGTGGTCATATTTGCCTGGGATCACCCTTCCCCCTCCAGCCTCTCACACAACAGAAGTACCCTTCCTGCTTCATCTCCTATACCTCCTTCCCCTCCATTGCATGCTTCCACTCCCTCATCTCCTGCTTGTACCTTCCTCATTCTGCTCCCATGTATTATTCTGATTCATTTTCTCATTGTGCTAACTTTTACCATTTTAATCGCTTGCCTCTTTCCTCTCCCTTTCCTCTTTTCTCTCCCTCGCCTCCTTCCATTCCCTTTCCTCCTGCCTCGTCCTCTCCTTGCAGCCATCTGGACAACAACTGGTTTGCGGGCTCCATTCCATCTGCCCTCGTCTCCCTGCCTGCCCTCACCGGCCTGTAAGCACGTTTCTAACCCACTCAATGCTTTCAGCACCCATTCCTCTTGTCATGTTTTATGAACTGCATTGTGACGACAAGTACTGTACGATGTGCCATTGTTCCAAAAACCCACCCACGTGCTGTACGCACCCACTTTGGTTTCGTCATTGTTTTGGAACCAACCACACACTCACAGTATGGGCCCAGGGTCATCGATATGCCACCATTCGCCGGGTTCCAAGCTGGTCCACACTACATCACTGACCTTTCGATTTGTTAACTTGCCTCTCCTTTGCGAGCTGTCCATCCCAGTAACGCAAATAAACTTACGTGAACCACCTACCTGCAGGGACCTGCACTGACGCACTGACCGGGACCGTGCCAGCCCTGCCCACCTCTCTCCTCTCCCTCGACATCCAAGACAACTTCCTCGCGGGAACCTTGTAATTGAATATCGGCTATAAGCGCTGGCGCTTATATAACGACAAATACATAAAATACAACTTAAACGAACCAAATTGTACATTTCAGTCTCGTAAGTTGAATCGAATCGAAATTTTACAGGGTCCATAATCAGAATCGCGCGAGGGCGATTTTCTGATGGTGCACAGAGCTTTGGCACGTCATTTTGCCCGCGTGCCAACTCATATTGACTGGACGCGCAACTAGTAGGTCCTCGAAAGTTAAACAAAGTGAGAATGGGGGTGTTGACTCGCTAGAAATTTGAAATTCGTTACTGTTTTAATCAGCATTGAAAAATAAAATTTGCATGCGCTTATAATATGTCAGTGTTTTACGGGGTGGGAGGGGGGGGGGGGGGGGGGGGGGGCGCTTATAATCGAATTCCGGCCATAAGCGCCATGCTCCAGATAGAAACGCCGGCGCCTTTAATCGGACGGCGCCTATATCCGGGGCCATACGGTAATTTCTGCTCAAGCCCTGTGGACGGCTTGCCTCGTGAGTGAACTCTTCTGATAGCACAAGTAATCATGTTCCCCAGCCTTTCTCGTCTTCTGTGGCCTTAACCACCTTACGACCTGTTGAGATAATATCGAGACATAAATCACTTCAAGGAAATTCGTGTAGTACAGTAAAGTACCGATAGGCTGACGTCAGCAAAGCGCTACGCGACCTAGGATGACGTCAGCACGTAGCTATAGACTTCGCGAATAGTTACGTACCGTTTCAAGATAAGAATAGCACAGTACAGTAGGCGAACAGGTACTTTACTCTAGCTATATATTTTGTATGTTTGTCATTTTATAATATATCTGATTTCAGAGACATTTTTTATCCTGAAACATATCACTGCATAGACTTTATTAAGTCTAGACAAAGCCTTCACAACTGGCTTAACTCATATAAGACTTCCGCTACGACAGGAAGCTACCATCCTAAGACTACGATCCTTCAAACTCATTTCAAATTCTAACATGGTATCAGAGCAACTTAGGATTATAACAGCTTCCACCTGCCTACTCTACAACTATGTCTGGATCTCCAAGGTCCAACAATGGCTCTTCTGTTACGAGCCCATCACGCCCAACAACGTCTCCAGTTGCTGATAATTCACATCTGCAGCAACAACAACAACAATATCAGCAACAACCGATGTACGGCATGCCATTGAGCAATCAGCCCGTACACGCAACTACAGCAGCGGCATCATTGACAGCAGCCGCAGCAATAGCAGCATCAGCAGCCACAACAGCTGCAGCTGCAGTCACTGGTTCTTCTAGTCAACCGGGACAACAGTCCAACTTCGTACCGACTGGACCTTACCAATATCAAGGTGCTTACCAGCCAGCAAATCTTCAACAACGTGTTAATGCTGCCGTCTTGTCGCTTAACCAGATGTTTCCAACTCCTATGAGCATTGATGGCTCCAGCTATCAGCGTGGTCAGATGCCACAAGGAAGTGACGGGTCGAACAACTCCTTCTCTTTTGGTCCTGCTGGACAAGGACAACAAACACAACAAGGGTCACAGGTGTCATCACTTTATCAGCTACAATCAGCTGACGGTACCGGAAATTATATTCCTGCTTCTGCAAATCCAACAAAAATTAAAACGACAACGCCTTTTAACGGTCAAGATTTTTATACCTGGAGCTTTGAGTTTGAGCTTCTTGTACAGACCGCGGGGTTCTGGCAGCTGTATGACGGCACAGCACCCTTTCCATCTCACGGGTCACCACTTCAACAAGCCACTTTTCGATCGGCGTCGCTGACTGCATACACAGTTCTCGTTCGTAATCTGACACCGACTGAACAGCTCGGAATTCGTTCTTTTCGTACCAGTGCCGCTCCTGCTGAAGCAGCTTGGTTGTACCTGCAAGGGGTTCACATGGCAAAAGACACTGCCAACCAGAGTAAAATTTTGACGCAGCTGTCAAATATACAGATGATAAACGGCGAGAAGGTGACGCAGTATATCAACCGCGCTCGAAATTTGCGTGATCAACTTCAGAAGTGTGGAGGGTACTTCTCCGATGCTATGTTTCACACGGTGCTACTCGCGGGTCTTGGACCAGAATGGCGACAGTGTCGCTCTATACTTCGGATGCAAGCACAGTTGTCCGAGGGGGCACTCTGTGCCGCTCTCATCGCCGAGCAGCAGGATATGGACCTGCACAACGCTCGAGGAGGAAAAAAGGTGGTAAACACAGTCAGTTTTTATTCTAATCCACGTCACAAACCTGTTTGTTCCTTTTGTCGCAAAGCAGGACATACTATTGATACCTGCTGGTCGAAAGATAAACCATCTTGGAAGCGGTCTGCATCGAAACATACCAAAGATTCTTCAAGCGAAGCTGAGAAGCCGGAAGCTGAGAAGCCGGACGCTGCGAAGCAGAATACTGCAAAGCCGAACTCTGCGAAGCCGACTACTACACCTGCCAAGACACAAAACAGAGAAGTGATTAATTGCATGACATCAGTTTCTACTGTCTACGACCCTGACGTTGAAGAACGTATACACAGTAACTTCAACGATGAACTTAATACGCCTATACCACCCGAGGTCTACGCAAACCTTGCACATACCTTGGAAGGGCCCAACACTTGGTATCTTGACAGCTGTTGCGGCCAGCATATGTGTTCATCAGAAAATCGATTCGTCATCAATCAGCGTCGTCTTCAGAATCCGTGCGTTGTAACCGTCGCTAATAATCAACGTCTTACAGCACACTGGACGGGTAACGTCATTCTTGATTCTGTTGACGAAGACTTCAGTCTTCATCTTAACGATGTACTCCTCGTTCCTCGACTTGGCTTCAATCTGATGTCATCTGCACAGCTCATGAGGAATGGCATTACTCTTCTTGGTGAACCGGGCAAGTTTACTTTAAAGTATGGAGACAAGAAACTCGGCACGGCAATTGAACAGAACGGTGTGTTCGTTCTCAACTTCGTACCTGAACGCACCACTGCCGACTCCGAGAATATTCTCTCTCTTGGCCCATGGGAACATCGTGACGACATCGATTACACCGATGATACCGTTCCTCGTGATGGAGTTGTACCCACATCTTCGACCACGGCTGCCGCAGTCATGCTGACCTTCGACAACCAAGGTTTGAACGACGTCCAAAACTCCCGAGATTATCTTGCTGGTGGTTGGGGAGATACGACGAATATGCCCACGAGTGAAGGCACTTGGGGGGCACAGGAACCTGACGAGACCACTTGGGGAGAAACCCCGGCTGATCGTGATCGACGTCTTCTTACTGATGCAGAGCAGCGTGTTGCTGACATGGAAGTCCTTGACTCCGGACGACTTGTCGGTGTTGAGCCTAAACCTGCAGCATCAGATCAAGAGAGTGGGGAGTTAATTCTTTCACCTGGCGAATCCATAAACGTCGAAATCAAAATACCTCCTCCTAACCTTACCAGGTTCATCCCGCCAGTCACCGATCATGTTCACGCTGACGGTCATCGGCTGTTGTTATCTTTCTTCGCTAACGCCGATTATTATCTGCGCGCACAGGGACACAAAGCAACTGCAGAGACCTGGCATAAGCGTCTTGGTCATCCGTCGCAATCTACGCTCAACAACACAATCAAAGCAGCTGTTCTCTTCTCTTACCTGGCGGCATCGAAATGAAACCAGTTAATCGTCCATCACCCTGCTTGATCTGCCCAGCAGCAAATCTACCGCACGAACCGTACCCGACTCATTTTCCTGGAGCTGAGGATTATCGATTGATGGAAAAAGTTTACAGCGATATTCTAAACTTACCTGCGGAAGGTTTCAACGGCGACAAATATGTTATCACGTTCACTGAAGCTTCTACTCGATATGTCTGGACTGGTAACATGACTAACCGTTTTCTTGCTTTCACAGCGTTTCAGACATGGCTTCCTCTCGCAGAACGCGAGTCTGACACAAAACTCAAAAGCTTCCAGTGTGACGGAGCTGGGGAATATCGCAGCCTCGAGTTTACAGCGTACCTGCAAGAACGAGGCATACGGCGCATGTTCTCACTTCCTCACGCTCACCAGCAGAGCGGTGTCGCTGAACGTCTCAATCGTACCTTGCAAGAAAAGATGCGAGCACTACTCACACAGTCTCAACTCGGCCCACTCTACTGGCCCTTCGCAATGGACCACGCAACGCTGTTGCACAACCTCCTGTCTTCATCAGCTTTACCAAACAACGCATCACCTCACTTGTTATGGACAGGCAAATTGGGCACTACGAAACTTCTTCGAGTTTTTGGGTGTGTTGTGCAATATCGTCCTCCCACCGCTCCACTCGGAAAATTTGATCAACGTGCTAAGTGGGGTCTTCATCTCGGTCTTGAGAAGCAGTTTTCTGCATGGCGTATTCTGGATTATCGCAGTCGACTTTTAATTCCTGCCCGCGACTGTATTTTCTACGAAAATCTAACCCTTCCTGTCTTCGAACAGTACCTCGCCACCCAGCGTGATCCTGCTACACTTTTCCACGGTGTTCGCTCATTCGCCAGTGCTGACGCTGAACTCGCTGCCAGCAAAGAACCTAACATTGACGGTGCACGTGAAGCCGCTCCAGATCCACCTATCCCAACCACGTCTTCCGGATTTCCGGAATTCATTCCACTCGTCGACGCTCATCCCGACGATGTTCGTGAAGTTCATCATACTTACCTGGTGGACGATCAACGACGTCCCATGCCAGCTGTAACTGACAGCAGCATCCGCGTCGATCCTGACGAAATTGGGGGGGCAAATGGTGAACAGTGTGAATCTTTCAATTTCGCAGGACGGACCGACGACAGTCCTAATTATCAAACTGGGCTTCAGATACTGGGACTCGCAGCAGCAGTACAGTATAATTCTTCAGAAGTCGCAGAACCGAAAACTGCCCGACAGGCCCTTTCAGGACCACATCGCGAAAAATGGCGTGAAGCCATGGATCGTGAATTGGCTGCCCTGGAAAAACGGGAGACTTGGGATCTCATACCCATCGAAAAAGCTACAAATAAAAATATTCTTACCGGAAAATGGGTCTTCAGGGTGAAGACGAAAGCTGACGGCTCTTATGAAAAACATAAGGCAAGGTGGGTTGTTCGTGGTTTTGACCAAACTCATGGGGTTGACTACACGCTAACCTTCGCCCCGGTCAGCTGACAGAGAAGTGTTCGTCTCGTTATCTGCGAAGCAGCTGCGAAGAATTTTCCGCTTCGACAAATTGATGTCTCCAACACGTTTCTATACGCTGACGTCGATGCCGAAATCTACGTCGAATATCCGCATACATATCCGACAAGTCCGCCAAGTGTCTGCAAGCTCAAGAAATCACTGTATGGCATCAAACAAGCACCGCGACTGTGGCAGCAGCATTTGAACAGAAAACTTACAGAGGTTGGATTCCGACAACTGCCGCATGACCCCGGAACGTATCGACTAGACGACAAGGGGAGCTACGCGCTACTTGTGGCTTACGAGGATGATATTCTCTACGTAAGTTCCTCGGCTTCTCTGGGTGATCGCATCGAAGCAGATTTGAAGAAGTCCCTTGACTTAACTGTTTCTACCGAAGTAACCCAATTTCTTGGGTTAAATATCTCGCGAACTTCTTCTGCCATTCACCTCACAGCATCGAAGTACGCTGAGTCACTCGCTAAGCGCTTCAAGATTCCTACAAGTTATGTCGCTACACCGTTTCGGTCTACACCCACTGGGTACATTTTCAACGACACCAAAATTTCAGCAGTTGGTTTACAACTATACCAACAGCAACTTGGGTGCCTTCTCTTCGCAGCAGTCACGTGTCGTCCCGACCTTGCGTACGTCGCAAGTTATCTCGCACAGTTTTTAAGCTGCCCAAAAGAAGAACATCATCTCGATCTTCAGCGCGCTCTACACTATTTTGTTGCAACAACAACAGTCGGGCTGATTTTCAACACAGGAAAACCGACCGACAAAATGTACCTCAGCGGATATGTTGACGCAGACCACGCTGGTGACACGTCAGATCGCCGGTCACGAACAGGCTACATTTTCCGTCTCGAGCCCATTGGTCCAATCTCATGGAACTCATCGAAACAGGAACGGGTGTCACTTTCCTCGGCTGAAGCAGAATTCATTGCCGCGTGTGTTGCAACTCGAGAAGGACTATACTTACAGGAACTGCTCGACGAAGCGAAGTTCATCACGCCGAATCAGTTCACGTTGCAGTGCGACAACCAGAGTGCGATTACCATCGCCAACAAACCCGGCTTCGTCAATCGCACGAAACATATTTCACTACGTTACTTCTTCGTCAAGGATGCGATCGACAAGGGGAGAATGCGCCTTGTCTACTGTCCCACTGATGACATGGCAGCTGACTCACTTACCAAGAAGCTGACGCGACAGAAATTCCACCACTGCAACCAGCTCAGCGGAATTTCCGAGACAACCGGATAACTACACCGAACTCCTAGAAGTGAAGGGGAGTGTTGAGATAATATCGAGCCATAAAGCACTTCAAGGAAATTCGTGTAGTACAGTAAAGTACCGATAGGCTGACGTCAGCAAAGCGCTACGCGACCTAGGATGACGTCAGCACGTAGCTATAGACTTCGCGAATAGTTACGTACCGTTTCAAGATAAGAATAGCACAGTACAGTAGGCGAACAGGTACTTTACTCTAGCTATATATTTTGTATGTTTGTCATTTTATAATATATCTGATTTCAGAGACATTTTTTATCCTGAAACATATCACTGCATAGACTTTATTAAGTCTAGACAAAGCCTTTACAACTGGCTTAACTCATATAAGACTTCCGCTACGACAGGAAGCTACCATTCTAAGACTACGATCCTTCAAACTCATTTCAAGTTCTGATGGTGCACAGAGCTTTGGCACGTCATTTTGCCCGCGTGCCAACTCATATTGACTGGACGCGCAACTAGTAGGTCCTCGAAAGTTAAACAAAGTGAGAATGGGGGTGTTGACTCGCTAGAAATTTGAAATTCGTTACTGTTTTAATCAGCATTGAAAAATAAAATTTGCATGCGCTTATAATATGTCAGTGTTTTACGGGGTGGGAGGGAGGGGGAGGGGGGGGGGGGGGGGGGGGGCGCTTATAATCGAATTCCGGCCATAAGCGCCATGCTCCAGATAGAAGCGCCGGCGCCTTTAATCGGACGGCGCCTATATCCGGGGCCATACGGTAATTTCTGCTCAAGCCCTGTGGACGGCTTGCCTCGTGAGTGAACTCTTCTGATAGCACAAGTAATCATGTTCCCCAGCCTTTCTCGTCTTCTGTGGCCTTAACCACCTTACGACCATCCATACCGCCTGCACCAAGAGCATCTGTATTCACAACGGATTATGTTTCCGTACCGGTACTGCTTCTCTCCCACTTGCTCAATCGCTACTCTTCCACTTGGTCAATCGCTACTCTTCCACTTGGTCAATTGCTCGATACTCTTCCACTTGGTCAAACGCTACTCTTCCACTTGATCAATCTCAACTCTTCCACTTGGTCAATCGCTAAAGGTATTAGTGGTCTCATATGAGAAGCTGCAACCTTTAGATACATGCTACAACATACATGAAGAGAAAGTCCCATGGATGAGTGAATTGTTCTTAGGTCAAGGAACGTTCCCTGTTTCCCTAATTCCAAACTCTCCATTCCACCACCCAAGGGTCAACCACCCGCAGAGAGAGCAGGGGGTAATGTGGGTCGGGCAATGTAAGGGGGTGTGTGGGGGGGTGAGAGGAAGGAGGAAGGCGGGGCGTCGAGAACGTGGGGAGGGAAGGCATGCAGGGTGAGAGAGAGGAGATGCTCCACCGTCTGATGAGGGCAAGGGGGGTGTGGGGGGGGAGGAGGTTCGGATGCAGGTTTGTGACAAAGGAAACTCCTTGAGTGGGGATGAATTCATAACAAAGAAAAGGCTGGAAGTGGGGAGATGATGATATTTTCTGATGCGAAGAAAGGTGCTGGAAAACCGATCGAGATCAGTGCCCTCAGGATTAAAGGAGATAAGATCTTCTGATGTAAGCAGATCTTGCAAGGCCATGTAATACCAGTAGACACAACCAGTACCGTTGCAGGATGTAGTAAGCGGCACATTCTGCACGAAGAAGAGCGAGGGGGTAGGCAGGAGGATGCTGCACATTCTGACCTTGGCTTGTCTGATTTCAGTGTCAATGAGTCTCCTCCACTTGCCCGCCCCCGCCTCACAGTGGAAGAGACCCAGCAGAGGCTGGCGAGTAGGAGAGGGAGAAATGGGAGAGGTGAGAGGGGAGAGAGGGGAGAGAGGGGAGAGATGGGAGAGGGTAGAGAGGGAGAGAAGGGAGAGAGGAGGGTGAGGGAAAAGAGGAGAGAGAGCAGCGAGAGAGGAGAGGAGAGAGAGGGGTTTGAGTGGGGGAAAGCGACAGTATATATGAGCGGACTTTGCAAAAAAATGAATTGTGACGAGGACCGAATGCATCAAACATGACTTTTGAGACGCCTAAACAATCGGATATGGTGAGGATACACACAGTAAGGGGGAGGGGGAGGGGGCGAAGGAAACTCGATTGCAGTCACCCCGCACCCACCGGCCTTGCCGCCCACGCCACGTCGCCACCTTAATACACACAGGTTTGTTGAGCATACCGCACGTCACATCCCACACACCCTCCCACTGCTCTGCCATCCCGCTGCTCTGCCATCCCGCTGCTCTGCCATCCCGCTGCTTTGCGATTCCCTCCTCCGGTCACCTTCACATGCCTCTGCGTGTACACCTGACTTTACGCACCGCATCCCATGAATTTTGAGGCGCCTCAAAAGTCGTCTCCCGTTTTAAGGTGCCTCAAAAGCCTTCACATGCCTCTGCGTGTACACCTGACTTTACTCACCACATCCCACGAACACCCCCCATTACCACTCCCCCCTCCCTGCCAGGCTGCCGTGCCTCCTGGCCCTGCGCATGCCCCTCACCTTGACTAGTGTGCGCACGTTGGGCCTTCCCGGGCCAAACTGGTTCACTGCTGAATCGGCGTACTGCGCATATAGATGCAGCAGCTGGGAGGAATGGGGGAAGAGGGCGGAGAGAAGGGCATGCAGGGAAGCTTTTTGAGGAGCTTGAAAGCCGCAGTTCAGGTGAAACTGGTTCAGTGCTGAGTCGGCGTACTGTGCGTATAGATGCAGCAGCTGGGAGGGAAGGGAGAGGCCAGGGAGGGGGGCCTATGGGGCCGGCCTTTTTTAGGTGCTTGAAGGACCGCCTCAGTTGAAAATGGTTGAGGGTAGAATGAGTGACTGAGAGAGGAGGAGGATGGGGGCATGTATGCACAGGCGGATTTCTCAGAAGCAAGCAGGGGCTGTGAGTGAGGGAGGGCACGGATCGAGGATGCTGAGGCTTGTACTCCTGCGCATGTAGGAAGGCAGCTGATTCTGGAAAATACTACTTACAGAAACGCCTGATAGGGTTGATAGGGTTGATCGGGTTGTGTTCCTAGGCCACCAACTCATGCACGTTGGCGTTAACAACTTAGTATAAGATGTGCACAGCACAGCCCTGGTTCTCTTGTTTTGGGGGCCCCAACCAGCTCTGCCAGCCAAGCCAGACCTTGTGGTTGAATCCTCGCTTGTGCGTTGAGGAGGGCAAGAAAGGTTTGCATACCTGTCGTCTGGACTGCAACGGGTTGCTGGGTGCCCCAAAGATGGCGGTGTCAGCAGTGGAGAGGATGTGCCATGGGCTGGTGGGGATAGGAGAGGGGAGACAGGCAAGTGAGCACATGTGCATGCATTGAGGTGCAGAAGCACACGTGCATGCTATGAGATGCAGAAGCACACGTGCATGCTATGAGATGCAGAAGCACATGTGCATGCGGAATTTCTCTTGAGAGTGGCACTTCTGTGGAGAGACAAGCACGGAGAGAGCCATGTGTGCACGGGCGTGTTCTTGAGGCGCGGCACGCAGAAATGCACATGGCATATGCATGTGGCGCAGCACACAATACACGTGATGCCTGTAATTCACTCTTGCAATAGACATACGTGTTGTTGTACCATGTGTGCACTGATGGATGCCCATTTGAGAAGGAGGGGGAGGAGGCGAAAGAGAGTGAGGAGGTGTAGTGTAGGGGAAGTGGAGGGAGGGAGAGAGAGGAGCGGGGTGAGGGAGAGAGCGACAGGGGGGGGGGGGAGTGGGGAGCAGGGGAGGGGGGCAGGGAGCGGGAGGGGGGGCAGGGAGGGAGCGGGGGAAGGGAGGGAGGAAGGGAGCAGGGGCGCGGGAGAGAGGGACGTGGGGGGAGGGGGGAGAAGGGGGGAGCAGGGGAGAGACACAGGGAGCAGGAGGGGGGTCAGGGATGGAGCGCGGGGAGGGAGGGAGGGAGGGAGGGAGGGAGGGAGGGAGCGGGGGCAATGGGCAGAGCAGACTGACGTGTTGTAAGCAGCCCGGCCGATCATGACTCCATGCACGCCCTTAGCAAGCAGCTCAGTGGCCTGGTGGAGGAACATAGGGGCGCGGGGAGTCGCGGGAGACATTGGGCGGACAGAGGGGAAATTAAAAAAAGACGTAACTAAACAAGTAGAGGGCGAAAGCAGAGACAAGGAACGAGGGCGCAACAAAAATGGATCCCTTGGGCATTACATCATTGATGGTCCATCACGCCATAGGCATGCATGATTGACTGCTAGCAGCAACAAAGACAGGCGGAAAATACTGTGGTGGGGCCAGAAGCAGCAAAGAAGCAGTGAAACAGGCAGTGAAACAGGCAGTGAAACAGGCAGCGAGACAGGCAGTTGAATCACAAGAAAACGGCAGGTAAAAACAAGTGGAGCAGGCTGGACCAACCTGTTCCAGGGAAGTGACGCCGCCGTTGAGAGTGAAGGAGAGGGAGGGGAAGTCACGGAGCAGTGCAAATACGTACTCGTATCTGCATGCACATGGGGTGGCGCATGGCACGGGTGGGTGGGTGGGTGGGTGTGTGGGGAATGTGACGGCCCAGGGTGGAGAAACATTGGAATGTAACATTGGCAGAGACGAGCAGAGTGGATGAGAGGCCTTTTAGGGCGGTTCTGTGGAGATATATCAAGAATCTGAGGAAACTACATGATTCATAAGCATACATATGTGCTTCCATTGACCTGCATTTTTGCGGCACGTACGCACCTGAGGGGCAGCACGTACGCACTTGAGGGGCGGCACGGTTCGGTTCTGTGTGGGAGAGAGGCCTTTGAGAAGCGCTTTGCGCGCATGGATGATGAAGTGACACACGGGAGAGAGTGAAGACACCGTTGAAATGAACTCGTCTGGTGAGAGAGTGGGGGGTTTGAAGGTGGTGGGTTGTGGGTATAGGGGGGGGCGTGGGGGGGCGTAGGAGATGGATTTTGGGGTGACAAGGGAAGGTGACAATTTTGTGTGGATATGAGGAAAGATGCGATGGGGGAGATAATGTGTGGGTGATGGGAATCGGGAACAGGGGCTGGTGGGAAACAGGAGTGTCAAACGCGGGTAAAAAAGGAAGCGGTGAGCAATATGGTGGACATAGGAAAATAGATTTGGCACAGAGACGGGCAGGCAGGCCCAGCCCTCAAGATTAAAAGTTGTGGATGGTGCCTGCTCCATTTCTCATGGAGTTTGTTTCGTTGTCCTAAAACAACACGAGTTGATGGAAGTAAGGCCTCCGCAGCCCACCTGTCCTCTTTTGACAGCGCCTGCTACGCAAGCAGTTGCACTCGCACCCGCCCCGCTCCCATAAGAATACCATATATTCAGCTTTACTCACTTCATGAGTGGGAAACACGCTTCCATGGCCTAAACACGCCTTCATGGCCTAAACACGCCTCCATGGCCTAAACAAGCCTCCATGGCCTAAGCACCTGCTGTACCCTTCACTCAGCCATCATGTAACTGCCACTGTATAGGGTCGTAACTGCACTGCACCCTCACCCCCCTCACTCAGTCCTTGTCACTCAACCTCCCCAGCTCATCCCCCAGCTCATCCCCCAACTCCTCCCCCAACTCCTCCCCCAACTCCTCCCCCAACTCCCCCCCCAGATTCCTCCCCTCTTCACGCCCCCTTTCTCCTCGAGCACACCACCAGAACTTTGGCACGTACGCAGCTGCTCATACGAGTCACAGTCGTCCACGCCTATGCGGCACTTCACTGTCACCGGCACGCCTGCTGCCCCCGCCACCTCCCCCATGGCTGCACATATCGCCGCCACCACCTGTGGGGTGATGGGAGGAACGGGGAAGAGGTGTCGAGGGAGGGCGAGAGATAGGTGTGAGGGTGAGAGAGATGGGTGCGTGCGAGGGTGCAAGAGATGGGTGTGAGGGTGCAAGAGATGGGTGTGAGGGTGCAAGAGATGGGTGTGAGGGTGCAAGAGATGGGTGTGAGGGTGCAAGAGATGGGTGTGAGGGTGCAAGAGATGGGTGTGAGGGTGCAAGAGATGGGTGCAAGAGATGGGTTCTAGAGATGGGGCCACAGGGGCATGGCTGGGATGGGGTCTTGGGGATCAGGGGGAATTGCAAGATGCAGTATGGCATGGTTGCATGGGAGCGGGAGAGATGGAATGGGAGCATACAGCAGGTGAAAGCAACGGTTGGAGTGCGTACAAGGGAGTGGCAACGTGGGGCAATTTGAGTGGACTCAAAAGGGCACATTTACCAACCCTCCCCCAACCCCTCCTCTCCCTGCAAGCTAACCTTGGGTGAGCGCATCAGGCGTGCACCGAAGCAGCCATGACCTGACACGGCAGGGCTGGGACAGCCACAGCTAGTGCGAGGGGGGAGGGGGAAGTGGAAAGGAGGGGGGATGGAGAAGACGAAACGAGGGGGGGGGGGGACAAGGGGGAGAGAAAAGGGAGGGGAACGGAGGACAGGGGAGAGGAGGTGAAATCAGAGGCAGTATGAAGCAAAAGAGGGGGGAATGAAAGGGGAGGGGAGGGGAGAAGAGGGGAGGGGAGGGGAGCAAAGCACGACAGCAGAGGCATGGATGAACTGTGCGAGAATGTAATAGCATGGAGGTGGAAGGCCAAGGGGCCACTGTGCGAGAATGTAACAGCATGGAGGTGGAAGGCCAAGGGGCCACTGTGCGAGAATGTAACAGCATGGAGGTGGAAGGCCAAGGGGCCACTGTGCGAGAATGTAACAGCATGGAGGTGGAAGGCCAAGGGGCCACTGTGCGAGAATGTAACAGCATGGAGGTGGAAGGCCAAGGGGCCACTGTGCGAATGCTTGAAAGTGCGAGTGATCAGCTCTTTATCCGCGAATCTGGCTCCCCATGTGTTGTAGATCCACGAGAATTGGCCAGAGCAAGTCTTAGCGCGCATGGAGGATGTCTAAAAGTCGGGAGGAAGGGCGAGAGGCAAATAAGCAAGATCATTATGTAACTGAGGCAATCAGTTGCTTCCATGGTTTGCAAAAGAGGCTGAATGTAACTGAGGCGATCACTTGCTTGTGATGGGCCTTGGCTGCCTACAGTACTTTCTTGGGAGCGCTAAGTGGGACCTCTGAGCATGTGTGAGGAGGCTACAGCAGCATGCGGCAGGAGGAAAGGATAGCAAACAAGCGGCAGAAGGCTCATACGAGGTTGATCTCATCGTATGCGCATGGCAGCGCCAGGCGTGCGGCCTCTTTTTTGTAGGTCACTTTTATGAATTCTCAAACCTGACCTACAAAAACGCAAGGCGAGCAAGCGAGCAGGCAGCGGCTCATACGAGGTTGATCTTTTCTCGTCGTATGCGTATGGCAGCGCCAGGCGAGTGGCCTCTTTATGAGGCGCCTCAATAACAGGAGGCAAGGCGAGCAGGCAGACAAGCAGACAGGTCTCACTTGAGGTTGATCTCGTCTCGTCGTATGCGTATGGCAGCGCCAGGCGAGTGGCCTCTTTATGAGGCGCCTCAATAACAGGAGGCAAGGCGAGCAGGCAGACAAGCAGACAGGTCTCACTTGAGGTTGATCTCGTCGTATGCGTATGGCAGCGCCAGGCGCGTAGCCTCTGCGAGCGAGGGAGGGTCGCTGCCGCCTAGCTGCAGCACGAGAGGGCGCTGAGAGGGCGGCGAGAGCAAGAAGCGATCCTGGTGGCAGGTGGCGAGGAGAGAGGGATGGGACGGAAGTGGTGGGGGGGGGGCAGGAGTGGTGGGGAGGGGTTGGGCAGGGGAGGGAAGCGGATAGGATGGATTTAGGGGATCATGGGGAGTTGTGTTGGGTGTGGTGTGTGGGCGAGGAGAGAAGCAAGGGAGCACGCGAGCAAGAAAGCAAGGAAGCAAGGGAAGGGAGCAAGGGAGCAAAGGAGAAAAGAGAGCAGGGGAGCATGGGAGCATGAAGCAAGGGAGCATGGGAGCATGGGAGCATGAAGCAAGGGAGCATGGGAGCATGGGAGCATGGGAGCAAGAAGCAAGGGAGCATGGGAGCATGGGGGCAAGAAGCAAGGGAGCATGGGAGCATGGGAGCATGGGGGCAAGAAGCAAGGGAGCATGGGAGCATGGGAGCAAGAAGCAAGGGAGCATGGGAGCATGGGAGCATGGGGGCAAGAAGCAAGGGAGCATGGGAGCACGGAGCAAGGAAGCAAAGTACACAGCTCAAAAAGGTTGCTGATGGTGTGAGGGAGGGGAGATGGGAAGCTGTCGTAAGCTGTTGTGTTGAAGTGGGTAGCAGCACACGGACAGGTCGTGTATGAAGTACAAGGCATTCCTGTTCCGTGCCAGGCAGGCAGGCATACCATCCATTCCCGTACCATTTAGAGAAATACCATCCTGTGAAATGCACAGTGCCCCCAACCCACCCAAACCCCCCCCCCCCCCCCCACCCTACCACACACAGGCACAAACACACACACACACACACACACACACACACACACACACACACACACACAGACAAGCTCAAACAATACACCCCAACAAACACACAGCCCCACAAACACAACTAAGAAACCCGTCCATCTCACGAGGTGCGGGTGCTAGTGCAGCAGCGTGTTGTCTACGACCATTTCCGTGTACAGCCATGTGTGCGCACTCATCAGCTGCGCCAATACACACTTCCATAAAGTCACACAGCCCCGCAGAGACAAGTTAAAAACCCTCCCTCGCTCTCACCAGATTGGGCTGCTGGTGCAGCAGCGTGTTGTCTACGACCATTTCCGTGTACAGCCACGTGTGCGCACTCATCAGCCGCGCCAGCTGCCGGTAGTGGCAGTCCGTCCAGTCCATCATGGGCGCCACGCTGGCAGAGGGGAGGGGGGGTGGAGAGTCTATGTATCATTTTAAGCTGCCTCAAGAAAGAGTGGCTGGTAGTGGCAGCCGTCCAGTCCATCATGGGCGCCACGCTGCCGAGAGGAGGGGGGTGGGATGGGAAGAGGGGCCATGGTTGGGGGAAGAGAGGGAGAGGGGGAATAGGAGAGGCGACGGGCGATGGGAGGGGAAGGGGGGGGAGTATATGTTTACAAGGAGAGAGGCGATGGTGGGGGAAAAAACTAATTTCTGAGGCGCCAAAAAGAAACACTGTCGGCTAGTCTGGCCAACACATCATGGGCGCCACGCTGGGAAAGGAAGGGGAGGAGGGAACGGGGCGATGGTGGGTTAGAGTGGGGAGAGAAGGGAGCAGGGAGGGCGCTGCAAGAGAGAACACGCTCCCCCACCATCGCCCCACCCTGCTGCAGCAACTTCCGCACTCACTCCCGTTACCTCGCTTCGCTTCAGCTAAGCTCCGTCTACCCAAGAGAGATAAGCTCATGTCGTGTGTGCGTGCTGCATTGGCCCATTGGGGAACCTCCTTCCAGGCTCACTCGCGAATGATGGACACACGATCTCCATAATGCGCGCCCCTTTCGCACACATTGCCCCCATCGCGACTATCGCCCCTGCCTCTGCCACCCAAGCAGCACGCGCACATGCCAGCGCACATTCCAGCGCACATGCCAGCGCAGACGCCAGTGTGCATGCACCGCTCCGCTGCCGCCTTGCCTAGTACAGCCACTCCGCCAACCGAGTGGGGCTTCCCTCTCCCCACACCCCCAATTCCCTTCCCCCCCCTCTTACCTCAGCCGCGGCGGAGCATAGCTGCGATCATTACTGATCGCGCCACCGTTCCGCTCCGCCAACCCTTCCGCGATCCCATTCGCCCCATCCGCGCAGGCCGCCGCCTGGTGCCCCCGCGCGCGCGCATCCGACCGCCACCGCCAGCCTCCGCTTGCTGCTGCGGGGGTGCAGCGGAAGAGAGCGCCGGGGGAAGCGGGGGCGCGGAGGCACGATCGGAAGCCACGGGGGGAAGAAGTGGGTTGCGCAGCGGGTGCTTGGCGCGGGGCGCTCAGGGCGCGCAAGGACGCGTGCGGAGTAAAGGGGGTAATCACGGAGAAACGCGCGCGAGGGAATACGGGCGTGCGAGTAGTAGAGAAAGTGTGGAACGCGGAGAACGGTGCGAGGGAGGAGAATCGAGTGAGACCGCTAGGCGACGAGAGGGAGGGCAGGAGGTGCATCTCCATCAACAGCGGGAAATGCGCGCGCTGCGTGCTCTTAGCGGGAATGCGTGCGCGCACATCAGAATTTGGGCAATGTTTGGGAGTGGAAGTAGGAGGAAAGATTTGGGGTTTGGAAACTTTTATGGGACAGGACAATGTTATGAGTGTGCAGGTTTCACAAACGAGCTGAAATGCACTGAATTTGAAAACGAGGATAATGTAGTGTAGACGAGCTAGGCGGGGACGTCGGTCTACAAGAGGTTCGGAAGGCTCCGAAGTGGTTTGGGGGCCGAGCCAGTCCGGCATGAAGGACACCCCGCCGTACACCTCACCACACCGTGGCGAAACCCACGCATGTCCCCTTTCTTGAAAAGTGAAGTAAAGGATTAGGAAGGGTAAATAGCAAGTAGAGAGAAAGAAAACTCCTAGAAGAAAGAGTTAAGAGTGACGTAAGACAAAATTGATAAGATAAAGAAACCTATGAAGAAGAGATTGAGTAAGAACGTAAAGGCTAATAAGGTTAAGGATAAAAATAACAAACTTGAAAGGAAGATGATGAAGACATTAAAAGGAGAGAACAATTGATTGAAAGAAAGATATTGAATGGGTGATTGATGAGAAGGTAAAAGAGCTTGAAAAAATAAACAAACTTGATAATGGAAACTAAGATTTGAGAAGAAAGGAGACTTGATAAGAATGAAGAGGCTTTGAATAGGGAAGCTTTAATTGAGAAACTTGACAAGAGTGAAATGAGGAGGTGACTTACCTTAAAGAGTCTTACTTGTCATTTTGAAGGAGCTTTGTAACTTTAAGAAGCCAAGCTTGAATTGTGAATCTTGATTGTTGGAAGGAGAGTGAGATCCAAGCTTGATTGTTGAGTAGAGAAGCACCTCCAAGCTTGAGTGTTGAGGTGTAGATCTTGTTTATTGTGTAGAGAAGAACCTCCAAGCTTGAGTGTTGAAGGTGAAGCTTGAGTCTTGATTAGAAGAAAGTCAAATGTTGATGTTGAGGCCTCAAAACTTAAAATGCACTAGTCCAAAGGAGGTACATGATGGACTTAAAGAGCAACCATTGATAACAATCTAGTAGAAAGATTATGAAGCATAAACTTCTCTAGAGTTGGAGAACATGGCTATGAGCTTGGATTGGGAGAGGTTGGTGGTGAGTGGAGCCTTAGGAGTTGGGCATGAGGAGGAGGACTTTGAAGTGGCCTTGTGAGAGCTTGGAGTAGAACTTGTGCAGAGCTTAGGTAAAAACTTGCTTGAAAAGTATGTATGAAGAATGGGGTGGACCCTTTGTTTTGTATTTGGTGGAGCTTGAGGTTGGATGAAGAAGAGGAGGAGATGAATGATTGTGATTGGTTAAGTTGGATAAGGTGGGGGTGATGAATGTGGCCTTGAATTTAAGGCTTGGTGAGTGGAATGAATGTGGCCTTGAAATTAAGGCTTGGTGATTGGAATGAATGGGGCTTTGATTTAAGGCTTGGTAGGGAATCTTTGGATTGATTGGTGGAGGAGAAGGTTGAGGAGGACTGGAGAAGATATGAGGTGGAGGATTGAAGGATTTGTATTGGGTGAAAATGGAAGTGTGCCTTGCTGACTGGAGATAAGGATGATGAAGTGGCGAATGGGTAATGTTGGGAGATGCCCTTTGCAGATTCGAATTTTGGCTGACGGGGAAACTGTGGCGAAAATTTTCGCCACGTGAAATTTTTCCCGCCACCCTGGTGCCACGCGAGCAGCAGCAGCAGTTCATTCCAACACCCCCCCGAACAGCTGACCCTCAGAGCGAGAAGAAGGAGCGGAAGGGACAGCAGTGGAGAAGCACTTAAGAGACTCGATCGGCAGCAATCCGGCGCGGTGGCGGCCAAGAAGAAAGAGGTGCCGGGGGAGGATCTTAGTCAGGAAGTCAGCAGCCTGGTCCGTGGTGCTGCAGTAGGCCGGTGTCACAACTTTGTTCTTAATCAGCTCTCGAATGTAGTGATACTGGGTATCAATGTGCTTTGTGCGTCCATGATAGACCGGGTTCTTGCTCAAGGCGATCGCCGATGTGTTGTCAATGTGCAGAATGGTCGGCTCATGCTGGGGAAGACTCAACTCCGTCAGCAACCCTCTCAACCACACAGCCTCCCGTGCTCCTTGCGTCACAGCCATGTACTCCGCCTCCGTTGAAGATAATGCCACACAGCCTTGCTTCTTCGATTGCCAAGAAATAGCTGCTCCCGCTATCACAAACATGTAGCCTCCAGTGGACTTCCGCTGTGAAAGAGGACCTGCCCAATCCGCATCCGTGAAACCATGCAAGACACTACCATGCTCATGTCCATGAAAGAAGAGACCAAAGGATTTAGATCCGGAGAGGTAGCGTAGGACACGTTTCGCAGCGTTCAAGTGCTGAGTAGATGGCGCGGAAAGGAACTGAGAAAGCACGCCCACAGCATGAGAGAGATCTGGGCGGATGCAGACGGATGCGTACATGAGGCTACCGACAATGCTCTGGTAAAGATTAGTGTCGAGGGGGGAAAGGAGTGATGAAGGAGGTGCGTTGGAAGAAGAAGGGGATGAAGAGGATGAAGGTGCAAGAGCCTCGTGGAACTCGTCCCAGTCAGAAAAGGGTTCAGTCTGAGAGGGCTGAAAAATAGAAGGGAGAGGTGTAGATGCAGGATTGCAGGTGAGAAGGCCGAAGCGAGAGAGGACCTTGTGAATGTATCGCTCTTGGGAAAGAAATAGAGAGCGAGAAGGACGGTCGCGAATGATGTTCATGCCAAGGTAATATGATGGCTCACCCATGTCTGTCATGACGAACTCCTTGGTGAGCATACCTTTGATGTGGGTGAGAAGGGAGAGAGAACCTGACACCATGAGGATGTCATCCACATACACGATCAACCACAGCACCTGATGCACCTTCGTGTGCAGGATGTAGAGTGCAGGGTCATACTCAGACTGTGTGAAACCTTGTGCCAGCAAGGCAGACTCTAATGCGTGATACCAAACCCGTGGAGCTTGCTTCAAGCCATACAGGGACTTGTGCAGCCTGCAGACTCTCTCAGTACCATCGTGATACCCATCAGGTTGAGACGCGTAAATCTCCTCCTCCAAAACGCCGTAAAGGAAGGCGTTGGAGACGTCCAGTTGAATGATGTAGAGATCCATTCGTACTGCCATGCCAAGAAGAGCGCGGACACTGGTGTACTTGGCGACCGAAGCAAATGTTTCATTGTAGTCTTGTCCAGGAACTTGAGAATATCCCTTGGCGACCAAACGGGCCTTGAACTTGTCCAGGGATCCATCACCCTTCACCTTCACCCGGTAGACCCATTTCACTCCCACGAGCTTCTTTCCTTTGGGTAATGGCTCCAAAGTCCAAGTCCCCCTGTCGAGTAAACTTTCCAGTTCTGTCTTTTCCGCTGCTAACCACTGCTCCTTAAATGCTCCTGCCATAGCTTCTTTGCGATTGAGAGGCTCGGGTGGAAGTTGGGAAATGGCGAAACAGGTGGCGTGGATCCTGCATTGGAAGCAGGTGCGACCGCTACACAAATGTCTTGGAGGTGAGCTAAGAGTGGAATACGTCGCATGAGAGGTGAAGTGCGCAGATGACGAAGTAGAAGATGTTGATGGTGCTGACGTGCTCGTGTCTGGTGGATAGTTGATATCAATCCGGTTGGGTGCTGCTGGTTGAGAATGAGCTTCTGATGAAGCTCTATTAGTCGGAATTGTCGAAGGGAGTTGCTGGATATGGGGAGGTGTGTGCTGTTGGGTTGGTGGTGGCTGCACGGTGGATGGTATGAGTTGACGATGATCTGGAAGGTGAAGAAGGGCTGCTGGACGATAGCCCCTGGGCCGATAAACGACGAGAGGTGTAAGTGAAGGCTGGAGAGAGTGAGTGTCGGGAGGATGTTGCTGTTGCTGCTGGTCCTGCTGGTGAGTAGGAGGGGATTGAAGAGGAGGAGGTAAATCGGGTGGAGATGGTTGTTGTCGTTGTTGTGATGGAGGCGGTGATGGCTGCCGCTGCTGTTGCTCTTGATGATGAGGGGTGGGAGCAGAAGATGATGGCGGTGGTTGTTGGTCTTGAGCATGAGACGCATCTTCGTGTTGCTGCTGCGGTGATGATGCAGGAACTCCACTTAGAATGATTGTTGGAAGTTCGAAATCTGCAAAGGTAGAGAAGGGAGGAACTTGAGAGGAAACAAGAGGGAAAGAAGATTTCCAAGAAGACGGGGACATGTCTTCATAGAAGATCACGTCCCTTGACACAATATCTCTTTTTAAGAGAGGATCCCACATCAACCAGCCCTTACTATCCTTGGCCATGCCCAGATGCATGCCCCATGCTGCCTTGCTTTCAAACTTGCTGCGTTTGTCATCCAGCACTTTGTACTGACTCATACAGCCAAAAACTCGAAGCATGGACACATTTGGCTTTACGCCGTATAATGCCTCATAGGGTGTAACACCCTCAGCAAGGGAGCTTGTCAGCCGACGATTCTTGACCCAAGCAGCATGGGTAACAGCTTCTCCCCACCATGAGTCATCCAGATTCATGTGGGAAAGAAAACCTCTTGAGATCTCATGAATCGTACGGTTGTATCTCTCAGCAGTACCATTTTGTTGAGGTGTTGCTGGGCATGATAATTGCTGCTCAACTCCAAGGTTGGTAAGGAAAGAGCGGAATGAGTTAGACATGTACTCTCCTCCACGATCAGAACGAAATATCTTGACCTTGAGACCCAACTGACGCTCAACATAAGGGAACCAAGACTGAATAACACTGGGAGCTTCATCTTTGGATCCAAGAAGAGATATCCATGCAAATTTTGTATGATGGTCAATGAGTGACATCACATACTTTTTCCCTGTACGACTCGGAGTACGGGAAGGACCCATCAGGTCACTATGTATGAGCTCAAGTGGTTGAGAGACTTCAGACTCAGAAGAATAGAAAGGATGACGAGGGAGCTTAGCTTCAACACAAGTATGGCACGATGAATGAGAAGATGACAGTTGCTTGGAGATGATAAGACC